GACATGTATTTTAATTATCCCTGTAGTTAGAAAAATTAAAATTATTGCGTTGACCTTGTCTGACAGTGCATTATTCCTAAATTACAAACAGTAAATAAATGTATATCACTTGCCTAAAAGGTATGGAGAATAAAACAAATTAAAAAAAATTTCTTAATTCACCAAAATTGAAAGTGTGATCAGAAGGAAGCACTTTCTTGTTAATAAAGGTTTAATCCATTATACAGCTCAACAAACTTTTTAAGCTCACATGGTTTTTCGCACAAATTAAGGTCACATTATTGTAATAAAAATTTCCATTTTGGAACTGCAGTACAATGGTATAACCCTTCGTTACATTACATATATAATGTCAAGCATAAATGTCTTTTAAAATTATCATCTTAAGTTTCCAAAGTGGATGTTTTAAAGGAAAATTTATAAGTAAAAGGTAGGATGATTCGACAATACGATTCTAACATAGGTTTTTACAAAATTGTATAAAACGAGCTTTCCTTGATCCCATGTAATTGAAATTTTAAAATATTTTTCCTAAAGTGGAGTATTTAAAAAAAATCTTTGCTCATTTACCATGCATACTTCTCTTGGTTTCGTCCAAATGTAGCAGCGAAAACGGATAATATTGCAAAAGGAAACCACATTAAAGGGTAGGATAATGAAGTATGTTTTTTTTTAAAATAGTACATTTCTTCTAAGAAAAGGAAAATCTTATGCATTTACGGTTTGAAACGTTCAAATTTTGCAGTGGGATGAATCTTTCATGATTCTAGATTTTAGAAGTTATCTCTTAAAAACCCCACCTTATTAGCACAGAAAACAGTCAAATATATGAAAAATACTGTTACCACCCCGAGTTAAAGAGTCATACAGAAAATACAAGTTACAGTAGCTGTACAGTGCCCATGTCTACGTTTCTGCCAAGGCTATTGTTTTCAAAAGAACGGATAAAAGGACAGCTGCAATTGGCAAGAAACTACAAAAATTCAAATGAGAATAGTTGTCATAAATATATCAAAGTTCTACCAATTGATTTGTGTGAATTATGTTTCAGTAAATGAATAAAACTCAAACTTTGTAAACAAATAGTTTTAAAATGTATTTTGTTGCCTCGATACACAATATTATATCATAACAATGTGACCTTAATTTGTGCGAAAAACCATGTGAGCTTAAAAAGTTTGTTGAGCTGTACACTGAACCAGTTACCACCTCAAAGTAGTGTTCAATTAATGTAATACCCTCGGCGTAGGCGTCCCTGCTAGGATAAGGTCAGGTTTTTTGGAGCAGTTTTCTTTTTTAAGAACTGCTTTGCCCTATACTGATTAGACATACATGAAAGATGCTTCTATTGTGTTTCGTTTTGTATCAGTCAAGGTTTCAAATGCTGCAATTTCAGCATAGAAATGACCAAGTTAATGTTTTTGGAGCAGATTAACACTTTTTTGTAAGCAGTTTTTAGCTCACCTGAGCCGAAGGCTCAAGTGAGCTTTTCTGATCAAAATTTGTCCGTCGTCTGTCGTTGTCGTCGTCGTTGTTGTTGTCGTCGTCGTCGTCGTAAACTTTTCACATTTTCATCTTCTTCTCAAGAACCACTGGGCCAATTTCAACCAAACTTGGCACAAAGTATCCTTGGGTAAAGGGGATTCAAGTTTGTACAAATGAAGGGCCACGCCCTTTTCCAAGGGGAGATAATCATGAATTTGTTAAAAATTAATGGCATTTTTAAAAAAAACTTCTCCAGAACCGCTGGGCCAGGAAATATGAAACTCATGTGGAAGCATCCTCAGGTAGTGTAGATTCAAGTTTGTTCAAATCATGATCCCCGGGGGTAGAGCGGGTATACAGTGGGTTATCAAAGTTTAACATAGGAATAAATAGGAAAAATCTTTAAAAATCTTCTTCTCCAGAACCACTGGGCCAGGAAAGATGAAACTCATATGGAATTATCCTCAGGTAGTGTAGATTCAAGTTTGTTCAAATCATGACCCCCCGGGCAAGGGTGGGGCCAAAATGGCCGACCCAAATTTAACATAGGAATATATAGGAAAAATCTTTAAAAATCTTCTTCTCCAGAACCACTGGGCCAGGAAAGATGAAACTCATGTGGAATCATCCTCAGGTAGTGTAGATTCAAGTTTGTTCAAATCATGACCCCCGGGGCAAGGGTGGGGCCAAAATGGCCGACCCAAGTTTTACATAGGAATATATAAGAAAAATCTTTAAAAATCTTCTTCTCCAGAACCACTGGGCCAGGAAAGATGAAACTCATGTGGAATCATCCTCAGGTAGTGTAGATTCAAGTTTGTTCAAATCATGACCCCTGGTGCAAGGGTGGGGCCAAAATGGCCGACCCAAGTTTAACATAGGAATAAATAGGAAAAATCTTTAAAAATCTTCTTCTCCAGAACCACTGGGCCAGGAAAGATGAAACTCATGTGGAATCATCCTCAGGTAGTGCAGATTCAAGTTTGTTCAAATCATGACCCCCGGGGCTAGGGTGGGGCCAAAATGGCCGACCCAAGTTTTACATAGGGATATATAGGGAAACCTTTAAAATCTTCTTTTCAAGTACTTCAAAGCTATGATTAGTGATATTTATATGGAATCATCCTCAGGTAGTGTAGATTCTAGTTTGTTCAAATGATGATTGCCTGGAGGGGGGGGGGAGTAAATTCAAGCCCGATGTGCTCAGGTGAGCGCTGTGGCCCCTGGGCCTCTTGTTACTGTTCGTCTCATTTCCAAGTAATTATGAGCCCTATGATGACCAAACTTGCATGGATGATATATACATCTAAGGATGCACAGAAATTGACTTGCTTCGGATGCTGAATTCGACATACATTTTCCAGATAATGGACCAGGTAAAAGTTATAGGTGCAGGTCTATCACCAAGAATCTATGAGTCCTATATTAACCAAACTTGCACAAATGATGCATCAAGGTATGAATGTTCTCAAACTTGCTTCAGATGCTGGATTTAAATTACATTTTCTTGATGATTTGAAATTTTTGGATAGGTCTATTCAAAAGTAACTGAAAGCCCTTTCAGATCAAAATTGCATAAATTTTGCATTTTTGGATGTACACTTTTAGAATATTGGTTAATCGTGTGACGTTGCTTTTCTTCAAGGCAACATTCTTAGAGGTGAGCTCATAAACTCTGATTAACAATGTTAAGTTATATTTTAAACGATGAGAAAAAGATTTGCAGTCCAGCCGTAGTATTAATATCTCGCTGTTGTATGAGAAACATGAAACTCATTAACTCAAAAAACATACGAGTCTCCAAAAATGTTTCTTTGGGATAGGGGGAATCTTAAGACCAAATTTAAGGCTTACAGCGCAGAAAGTTTAGAAAATAAAATGATATATAAAATCATTGGTAATATTGTGTGATATATGACTCTATATTTTGAATCTCATTCTTTATAATGAATGGTTGAATATTAAAAAAGGAACAGTGTACCTCAGACTTTACTGATGAAATACCTGGAAGTACCGATCGAGAATATAATATATTGAGATTACATCTGCTCTTTTGTGTTCTTTAGCGCTCACCAAATTGTAATCTTGAACATAATAAATGTGGTTCAGAGAAGAAGACATAAAAACTTAACTAGTTTGAAGGTGAGAGAGTAAAATCTGTACAATCCAGTTCATTTTACCATTAATGAAGAGAGATAGGATTTTAATGTATAAAATTGATGATAGAAATGAACTCTTACGACTGACCGATGAACTAATGACTGACGTGGCCATATTCTGCAACAAGTACATGTACCTCAAAAGAGAGTCTTCACAGGTAAGGGGAGGGAGAAACTTTGTAACGTATGTGTAGATCCCCCAACAAAGTCTTAACAGGTAAGGGGAGGAGGAAACTTTGTAACGTATGTGTAGATTTCCCAACAAAGTCTTCACAGGTAAGGGGAGGGAGAAACTTTGTAACGTATGTGTAGATCCTCCAACAAAGTCTTCACAGGTAAGGGGAGGGGAAACTTTGTAACGTATGTGTAGATCCCCCAACAAAGTCTTCACAGGCAAGGGGAGGGGAAACTTTGTAACGTATGTTTAGATCCCCCAACAAAGTCTTTACAGGTAAGGGGAGAAAACTGGGTGTTTTAGTTTTTTTTTTTTTTTTTTTTTTTTTTAGAAATAATGAGAAACAAAAGTAAAGAAGAGCACTCTATACATGTACAATTTGTTCCAAGCTGAATCCAATGTATGTACTGAAAAAAGAGAAAAAGATGGCAGATTTGATGAGTATTTAATCGTTCTTGTCCAGTTTTTCACTTGAAAGTCAGGAGCTAACTAACATGTTGAATAATCATTTTCTATCTGTTTACAGTGGTTCCTCGGTCAATATACTGGTGTCCATAGAGAGAGAAGATGAATTAATAGGACCAGTGGTGGTACCATTCTTTCTTCAGGTAGGTAACGAAAAAGCGAAATTAAATCTCTCTTTTCTATTCATGTATTTTAATTTTTTTTTGATATATATATTTCAGTTTCATATATGTTGTTGTTGCTTAATTATCTTCATTTGATGTTTCAAAAAAAAAAATGCCAATAAATTTTATTTTGTTGTAATCGGGTGAGAACGAATAATTATTCATCATATAAAAAAATCGAAAAAATCTAGTATGAATGTAAATTAAAAATGTGACATTTAATGTTTGTTCTCTTCCATCAGAAGCGTGAGGAGGGTTGGTGGGTAGTGATTGGAGACAACAAACTCCCTCCTCTCCATCAGAAGATTGACCTTGCATAAGAAGGCTAAGGTCAAACTGGACTTTGTTGCTCCTTCCCCTGGTCACTATAACTACACCATTTTCTTTATGAGTGACGCCTACATTGGGTGTGACCAGGAGTACAAGTTCAGCATCGACGTGAAAGAAGGAGCTAATGAAAGTGAAAGTGACAATGAGTAGATCATCTGATTGAAAAGTGGAAGTAATAATGTGACAGAGAAAAAATGAAGAATAAAATTAATGTGTTTAAGAAGAATGGATTAGAATACTGACTCAATAGGAAAGTGAATGAAGAATTCTTAAAAAATTGAAATATGATTAGAGGATTGAGAAAAACATTGATTTCTGAGATGTCCTGAGTAGTAACAGCTGGCTGAGCCCGGCCTTGGCGGCCATGGAGCTGGCTCAGATGGTGACCCAGGCCATGTGGGGCAAGGACTCTTACCTCAAACAACTCCCACACTTTACACTGGAGCTTATCAAAAAGTGTCAGGAAAAGGTAGGTCTAGAACAACTCCCCCACTTTACACCGGAGCTCATCAAAAAGTGTCAGAAAAAGGTAAGTCTCAAATAGCCCCCCCCCCCCACTTTACACTGGAGCTCATCAAAGAGTGTCAGGAAAAGGTAGGAATTCTTTCTAAAGACTATGTTCCAGCACATTACAAATTACAATTTTGAAAACTTGACAAATGTGATTCAGAGAAGAAGATAATTTTAATTGAATTTCCAATAACATGTTCTTGGAAGACAAGAGGAAAATCTGTACAACCCAGTTTATTTCAGCATTTATCAAGAGTTATTTTTTTTCTTTGTAGAAGATCGAGAGTATCTTTGACGTGATGGAGATGGAGGATGATGATAGAAATGAACTTTTACAGCTGATGGAGGAACAAATGGCTGATGTGGCCAGGTTCTGTAATAAGTACCCTAACATTGAGATGTCATTCGAGGTCCAGGAAAAAGAGAGTCTTCACAGGTAAGGGGAGGGCACTAGGTGTTTCAGTTCTTAAACAGTGGGAAACAAAAGAAAAGGAAAACTCTCTATACATATACAACGAAGCTGAACACATTGTATGCACTGACAAAAGAGAAAAAGATTGCAGTATTGATGAGTATTTGGACATTTTTTCCTGTTTTACGCTAGAAAGTCTAGGCTAATTGACATGTTGTTTAATCAGTATCTGTCTGTTTTTAGTGGTTCCCCAGTCAATGTGCTGGTGTCCCTAGAGAGAGATGAATTAGTGGGGCAAGTAGTGGCACCATTCTTCCCCCAGGTTGGTGTTTGACTAGTCACTTCTTTTTATATAATATAAAATCCAAGTCTTGAATAAAATAAGTGATTTATTCATGAAATAATAAAAAAAGAATTTTTTTATATACTTGTAATAAAAAAAGAATCATTTTTATATACTTGGAAATTCCAAAATTTATTCTAGTATTTGTTTTCTTATATCAGAAACGAGAGGAGCGTTGGTCGGTAGTGATTGGAGACAACAAATCTAACTCCCTCCTGTCCATCAGAAGATTGACCTTGCAGCAGAAGGCCAAGGTCAAATTGGACTTTGTGGCCCCTTCCCCTGGTCACTATAACTACACCATCTTCTTTATGAGTGACGCCTACATGGGGTGTGACCAGGAGTACAAGTTCAGTATTGATGTGAAGGAAGGAGATAGTGAAAGTGAAAGTGACAGTGATTAGATCAGCTGATCTGCAAGTGAAAGTAACAATTGTGGCATAGGAAAAATGAGGACATAATAAAAGTAATAAATATTTCACAAAAAAGGAAACTGGAGCAAGGATTCTTTGATATTTATTGTATAATAAGAGGATGAAAAATAATATAGAGTTTTGAGATTGGATCATGATCATTATCAGCGACTATTTACTTTTGTTGCCTGTAATATTATGATGGTTTTGTATATTAATACATGGTACGTACTAGTATTTCATTTTACAGTCATTGTCACCATTTTCAGTTGAATTTTTAAAATACTGTTAGAGACTTTTGAAGCCTCCTATAGAATTTACGTGCACAGTAAATAAATATGAATTTTAAATTATATCTTATAAAGAAAACAATGGTATTTTCAACAACAATTACATGCATTATTTGATCATTATCCTAGTTTTCATTAAATGAGGAGTGAAACAAAAGAAATTGAAAATGTTTGCGCTTTTCAGGGACAACCCTCATACATTCATCATTTGATCATAATATAGTACATGTATTCATTAAATGAGTGATACAAATCTATGAGAGCTTATATTTTCATTTTTTTTACATGGAAGGAAAGCAAATTAGACTGAGGGTAAATTCCTTGACAAAAAATGAGAAATTGAATTACAATTTCATTCACATGATAACACAAAGTTAAACTGAAGTATGCATTTACCAAAAGTGTATATTGTTTATAAACAATAACTACCCTCAAGAAAATTCAATGACAACAAACATTCTGAGAGTATTGCATAAGCAATACATGTACCCTACCGGGTTCCCCTTTTCTCTTTGGGGTGTATTTTATTAGAGCCTGTATATGAAAAATTGTTACTTAAATATGGACATTTCAGTTATTACTTGATTATGAATGAAATGTATTGGATCTGCCTTACAAAGAAATACTCGTGACGTCTTTGAATGCCATTTGACACACACAAATGCTTTGATCAGAACAGCATATAGAGGGGCTACTTTAAGTTCTGCTTATCTTGTTAAAAGGAACATGCAGGTAATAAGAATGTATAGGAAAACTTAAAATGAAGACATCATAATCATGATAATGCTTAATTGATTTGTTTTATTTTGAAAATCTTGTGTAACAGAATAAATTCTGAAATACAGGGTGTTTCAGAAAACATGCAACCATTTACTTTCCTCACCATATTGATATACAAACAGTAACATTTGAAAGTTTTATATAAAATTATGCTAAAAGGGCTCAAGTTTTTATCAATATCAAAATTTTTGAAAATAATTACCATTTTAATATATTATGACGTCATATTTGACATCACTGAAAAAAGCGAGTTTAACAAAAATGTTAATGTTTAATTCAATAAAAATCAATCATCAGGAATTCCGATACTCACTTAATCAGAGCCTGTCATCAGTTCATTTGACTACAGTAATGCATGAAAATAAGGTTTACAGAATGCAAAGAACTTACTGATAGCAATATAAAGTGAAAGTTGTATAAATATGTTCAATTATGTAGCCAATGGAATAGTTAAAACTTGATCAAAAAAAAGGGGGTGGGGTAAAAAAGTAGAACACATGAAAACATTTTGAATGTTCTAAAGAGACATTGATGCAGAGACTCATGTGCAATCCTTTTGTGAAATAACTGAGTTGTGAGCAAAATGAGTGAGTAAAGTGTAGATCAGATACTGAGATACGTTTTGAATCTTAAACCTTGGACTTGGTAGAACAAATGTTTGCAGAACCATTCAAATCTTTCAAAACCATGAAACTGGGCTCCACACTCACCTGACTTAACACCCCTTGACTTTTATCTGTGGGGATATTTAATGGTCATAGTGTTAAACACCCCCCCCCCAAAAAAAAAAGAAAAAAAACTCAAAAATAGTCTGCAAAATGAAACCTAATTCATTTTCAAGAGACTCTTTGCAAAAGTAATGAGAACTCTTTTGCATCGGATAGAATTTTTTCTTTCAGCAAAAATGACGCCGTTTAGAGCATATTTTTTAACTAAGTGAAATTTTACAATTTTCTTTTTTCTTTTGTTATTCATTTTCTATTTGCCGTATTAATTTTATTCTAATAAGAATAAATCTTGAAGTTGTGACTTTTAATTAGATATGATGGTGTATGGTATTGGTCAAAACGCCAGTAAAATCTAATCGATCAAAATGGTTGCATGTTTTCTGAAACACCCTGTATGTAGCAAATTGTTATATTCAGTTATAATGCATTCTGTATTAAGTAATATATTAATTTCACTAGGTAATGTTTTAATAATGATATACATAATTTGTTCTCTTGGTCTATGAATTCTAAAAAAAATCTATCTTGATCTGATGACCTTGCAGCAGAAGGTGAAGGTCACAATAACCTTTGCTCGTTCAACTGAGGGAAAGCATCATTGTATGTTAATGATGTAGAAATATAAATTCACAGTTAATAAGTCTGTGAATATTATGAATTTAATTTTCGATTGAAAACAATTAAAATATGAGAAGTATTTTAATACATGTAGGAAACTATATTTTGATAAATCTTCATGAAGATCATATAATTACTGAGTATGTATTTCATAAAGCAATAATATTTTATATTCATTTGATAATATTTTGCACTTCATACAATTTGCAATTTGTTTTGAAACGCTTTGACAAGTCATTACCAGTATCCCACCCACAGTATAGATTTGTGTAGTGACAAATAGTATGGTTAGTTCACTTCATTGTCTTTCAGTTAAACTTCAGGAACTCCCCGTCAGGACTCAGTAGATGGATCTGTTTGTTGTAAAGATCATTAACAAGGATGTTACAGAGAGAATCACACACTACATCATTTGGATTCTTTATCAGGTTCAGTCCATGGTACACTAACTTCATACGACCAGAGGGAGACATAATTATAAGTTCACCTGTAGTGACACCTGTACCGTTCACAACACAGATATCACCTTTCCTGTTCTCTGTGACTTTGTATGGGGCTGTAAACAGTCTGGTCTGACCGTCCTCCTGGTACTCATACTCATGGATGACATCACCTGTCACTGTGATGTGTCTCACCAGACGTCTGCTGTGTGACTCTAATTTTTAATCATCTGATTCACTGTCTGTCAAAGTGACCAGTAGTCCACTGTCCACAGACTGACAGATTCCTCCTGGTACCAGTGGATCTGTACTGATGACTGTAGAGACAGGTCCTGATGGTGACAGTCGGCTGATGGACTTGTTTCTGACGTCAGTGAAATAAACATTACCAGTATCAGTCACACACATGTCATTAGGAAAAATATAAAATTTGTGTTCTTTTTTGCCTTGCTGATTGACTTTTTCTACATCTTTAGACTGATATTCATTAATGTAACATTGGTCTTCACTGAATATTCCCAGAGCACATATTCCTTTATCACCATATTGAAATGATTTTTTTTATGGTCACACCAATATCTTCTAAATCCCAAGTTTTTCCAAACACAGAATTTAATAATTCATCATTGACGTCCCCTCTAGTGAATTCACAGTTTGTCATATGAAACTCCAATTCAGACAGCATTTTTGTCAGTTCTCTGTAGTTATCAATGAAGCTGTAATCTGACATGGTGCTGTTGTTCTCCTCCATGAATTCCAACGTGTCAACAAATCCTTGTTTCTTCCTCTGTAACTCAGATTTCACATGGTTCAGTTCATTCTTTTTCACCAAATTATCTCTAAATGTTTTCTTATTACGTTTTTTTGATTTCTGTAAGCCTGACCATTATCTCTTCATAATGCTTCTTCAACTTTTTAATCTCTCACACAGTTGTACATTTACTGTGATCTGTAATGACATCTTCTCTATCTTCTCATCAATCCCAGACGGATCCTCTTCCTTGATCTTTTTCAGAAATCTAATCAAACCCCTCCTTTTTTCGGCAGCTACCGTGGGTAGAGTGTTCCAATCATGTTCCTTATGATCTGTTTTGGCACATTCCTCGCATATCATATCAATAGGTAAATCATGGGTTTTACACATTTCAATATGTTCCTGAGAAGAGCCCAGTGGATATTTTTTTGCACTAGCAGCCATGTTTGTCGCGTACACGGGTGTTGCTTATCAGTGATCTCGATTTTGGTGCGCATGTTAGATAACCATGAGGCATATGCGCGAATGCATATAAGGTTTTAAAGTTATTCAATATGACATCTGTTTATGCAATGAAACATACAGATATATATACAATGAAATAATAATTTTAAGTAGAGATTATTGTTAAAGAGATTATAATTATGTTTCTTTGTTCAATTTTTTCGAATATGACAAGAAAATCATTTCTTAAATAGTGTGAAAGGTCTCGTTGGCCATTGTTATCATAAAAATAGGGGGATGCGTCTCTTAGACTTGCTCAAGTCTCTATGTTTTAGTGTCCTCTTTCATACTTTTTGATAATGTCAAACATAGATTTAATGTTTGATAACATTTCATTATGACAGACAGCAGAGGACAGCAATACAAATAAGAACAAAGAATTTAGAAAATATATTTAATAGAACCTTTTCTAGGTGAATTCAAACGATGAAAAAACACTTTGCAGCCTAAGCGTAGTATTAATAACTCGTTGTTATATGATTAACATGATACTAAATGACACAATTAAACATGTTTATGAGAGTCTCCAGAAATAATTCTTAAGGATGTCCCAGAAGGAACCTTGTGACCAAATTTTAGGCTTACGGCGCTGAAACTTTCCAAAATAAAATCATATAAAAAATAATAGGTAAACTTGTTTGATACAAGACTCTATATTTTGAATCTCGTTTTGGATATTTAGTCGTACACGGCATATTCTGTACGTGTACATAATTTGGCGTATTCAATCTTTAGTGCAATCACTGGATATTGAGTTGTTTGTGTAATCATGAATTAGCGCTTCATGTACATGTCGTCGCCATTTTGCACCTCCTATTTTACTTTTTGATACGACATATATTTTGGGTTTCTCATAGCAAAACATGGACACTGCCATTGTATTCACATGGGAGGCTGGGGTATCATTTAGTGAGATCATTGTAGAGATGATAGAAATGAACTCCTACAGCTGACGGAGGAACAAATGGCTGACGTGGCCAGGTTCTGGAACAAGTACCCTAACATAGAGATGTCATTAGAGGTCCAGCAAAAGGAAAGTCTTCACAGGTAAAGGGAGGGGGGTTTGTAACGCTTAGATCCTCCAACAATAAGAGGAAAAAACATAAACCATTCTCAGTCATGCATGTTGTACATTTATGTGTAAACAAACATGATATAAATACCAACTGACATGTTGAATAACCAGTATCTGTCTGTTTTCATGCGCAGTGGTTCCGCATTCAATGTACTAGTGTCCCTAGAGAAAGAAGATGAATTATATAGTGGGACCAGTTGTGGCACCATTCTTTCCTCAGGCGGGTAAACCAAAACTGAGAAAATAAAATAATTTCTCTTCCTTACTCCCCTGCATTTTCATGTGGATTACTTTGTATTTTTACTTACTCATGTTACTTTTTGTATTTTTAACTTTTCTATCGTCAACTTCCCTTTCTTATGCAGCAATATACCTTCATCACCTGCATACGGAGTGCATATATTTCAGTTGATTCGATGCGCAAGAGCATGCTCTGTGTATGAACAATTTCTAAAACGAGGTAAATTATTGACAAACAAGTTGATGAAACAAGAATATCAGCCGTCTCATTTAAAGTCATCATTTCGTAGATTCTTTGGTCGATACAGTACAATCAGCAAATACAATTTATCATGAGTCAAATACTGACTGACTTTGTCATAATAATTGTTAGTCCATTATTTTTACACTGAATTGACGACAGATTTTCCGTTATTTCCTGATCATGACAAGGAGCACACGTTGGGTGTGACCGGTCGGCAGGGGATGCTCACTTTTTCATGGCACCTGATCCCACTACTGGTGTTTTGAAGGTCCGTGTTTGCTCTGCTCTTATTTTGTATTGTTGTATGGACTTTGAGATTGAATGCTGTTCATTATCTCCATGTCCTTCCTTAAAACAACTCATAAAATAACGAAAAGCATTTTACAAATTTAAAACGTATATGTTAAACCTATTTTTTTTTGTCTTCATCAAAATCTTGAGGAGGGTTGGTGGGTAGTGATTGGAGACAACAAATCTAACTCCCACCTGTCCATCAGAAGATTGGCCTTGCAGCGGAAGGCCAGGGTCAAACTGGACTTCGTTGGCCCTTCCCCTTGTCACTATTCTAGTAACTACACCATCTTAAATTCTTTATGAGTGACGCCTACTTGGTATGTGACGGGAGTACAAGTTCAGCATTGAAGGAGATAGTGAAAGTGACAGTGATTAGATCAGCTGATTAGAAAGTGAAAGTAACAATATATTTAAACTTTTGACCCCGACGTCACATATCCCGTAATGCAAAAGATTTACAATTTTCGGCGCAAGATTTTATGCGCACTTTTGGGGAGAATTTCCGAACTCCAAAGCATTGATCAATCAACTATCTTTCACTCCCTAATTCTAGACACATTCTAGACGCATCATTTCATAAGTTCTATGGTCGAAACAATGACCTTGTCAGCAAGTACAAATTTATCATTGAGTCAAATGCTGACTGACGTTTTTCATACTTATTGTTAGTCCATGATTTTTTTTCACTCAATTGACAACGGATTTTCCTGTTATTTCCCGATCATGACAAGGAGCACACGACGGATGGGACCAGTCTGCAGGGGATGCTCACTTTTCCATGGCACCTGATCCAAATTATGATGTTTTTGAGCTCGGACCGGCCGTGTTTGCTATGCTCCTATTTTGTATTGTTGAATGGACTTTTGATTTTGAATTCTGTTTGTTTTTTCCATACGTTTCATTCTGTATATTTTATTCACATCTTAACCTTTTATATGGTCGTCAACCTCGAATGTTGTGTTGGACTTCATAAAATTCAAATCGGGCGAGTTTTATCGTGGAAACTAGAAAAAGAGTTGTTTCACTAGGTCATCATTACAGTTTCCAATAAATGAGTGATACAAATTTATGAGAGGTGATATTTAAAAGAAAATTACATAGAACCAAAGCATATCAAGCTAAATTCTTTGACAAGAAATACTGTAAGAATGTGAATTACAGTTTTAGTCACTTGATAACACAAGGTTACATAGGCGCATACACATGTGTTATAAGTTTATCTAAAAATCTTTGAACAATTTGACCTTCCCTCCAGAATCAAGGACAGATCATGCAATACACAAGTCGGACATGATAATGAAATTGTAAAAATGTAATAGTCTGTTTAATAAAATATTCTCTAAGACAAATAACCGGAAAAATTTCAGTTATTTAATGCGCGATAGAGAGTCTATCTTGCTATAATATATAATCGGAAGAGAAAACATGAAAAGCAGACATTGTGATCCTTAAATTTATTTGTTTCATATTCCTGTTTGTATGTGTTAATTAAAGGGAAATTAATTTCAAATATCTAGCAAGTCGTTTTATGCAGTTTCAATGCATTCTATGTGAAATACTAAATTAATCTTTCTAAGTAATGTTTAAATCATCACAATTATATGTTCTCTTGGGCTGTGGATTTTACAAACATAATAAATAAATCTTGATCTGATTGACCTTGCAACAGAAGGCAAATATCACATCGGCCTTGGCCCTTTCAGGTTAAGGAAAACATCACTGTATGTAAAAGGATATAGAAATATAAAATCCTAGTTAATAAATCTATGAATGTTGCGAATTATTAATTTTGAATAATAACAAAATATAAAAATTCATATGCGTTCATGAAACTATCTAAGAACTATAATTAGGTGATTTTTTTTCATAAAGATCATCTATAGATCACTTAATTTTGGCTGTACACCATATTTTTGCGAGGTAAATATTTACTCTTCATCAGCGAAACAATTTTTTTACGAATTGTGGTTAATAATATAATCTTGAGGAATACTAATTCACGCGAGAATGATATTTTTGCGATTACAAACTCTAGTGTGATTACACAAAAATAAAGCTCTCGCGAATAAAATTTGATTTCCAGTGCAGGTATTTTATAAAGCTGTTGTGTGTCATATTGATAAATTTTATCAATATTAATTCATTTCACTCATTTTGCCATCTGTATTGAAACACTTTGACTAGTCCATTATCGTATCCCACCCACAATATAGACTTGTAAAAGGACAGGGAGAATGTGCGATTAACTTCATTGTCTGTCAGTAAGAACTTCAGGAACTCCCCGTCAAGACTTAGCAGATGGATCTGACTATTAAATGGGTCAGTAACAAGGATGTTACAGAGAGAGTCACACACTACGTCAGTTGGATGAAACTTCTCTGTTAGGTTTTGTCCACGGTAGACAGACTTAATACGACCAGAGGGAGACATAATCATTAGTTCACCTGTAAAAACATTTGTATGGTTTACAACACAGATATCACTGTTTATGTTCTGCGTGACTGCGTCTGGCAGTTTAAACAGTCTAGTCTGTCCGTTCTCCTGGTACTCATACTCATGGATGACATCACCTGTCATTGTGATGTGTCTCACCAGACGTCTGCTGGATGTGTTTAAGTTGTAAATATCTGATTCTTTGTCTCTCAAGGTGACCAGTAGTCCACTGTCCACTGACTGACAGATTCCCCATGGTACCAGTGGATCTGTACTGATGACTGTAGAGACAGATCCTGATGGTGACAGACAATTGATGAAATAGTTACTAGAATCAGTGAAGTAAACATCACCAGTAAAAGTCACACACATGTCTGTAGGATTAATACTAAATTTATGTCCTTTTACGCCTTGCTCATTGACATTTTCTATGTCTTTTGACTTAAATTTATTAAGGTAGCATTGATTTTCACTGAATGCCTCCAAAGCATATATTGCTTTATCACTATATTGAAATGAATTTTTTATAGTCATACCGATATTATCTACATTCCAAGCTTTTCCAACCACAGAATTAAGTAAGTCATCGTTGATTTCACCTCTAGTGAACCTCACTGAATATTCACAGTTTGTCATATGAAACTCCAATTCAGACAGCATTTTTGTCAGTTCTCTGTGGTTGTCAATCAAGCTGTAATCTGACATGGTGCTATTGTTTTCCTCCATGAATTCCAGTGTACTAATAATTCTTTTTTTCGTCTTCTCCAACTTAAATTTCACGTGGTTTAGTTGATCATTCTTTTTCACCATATTGTCTTTCATTGTTTTCTCATGACATTTGCTGATTTCCTTCATTCTGGTCAATATCTCATCGTAATGGGTTTGTAGCTTTTTAATCTCAGAGTCACAAAGTTCTTTATTTTCTGTTATCTTTTGTGGAATCTTCTCAATCTTCTGATCAATTACAGGCAGATCTTCTTCCTTGATCTTCTTCAGAAATTTAAGTAAACCTCTCCTCTTTTCGGTGGATGCCGTTGTTATAGTGTTCCATTCGTGATTTTTATGATCTGTTTTAGCACACTTAACACAAATAAATTCATCACAGTCCTCACATATCATATCAATTGGTAATTCATGGTTTTGACAAGTTTCAATATGCACTAGAGGAGAGCCCAGCAGGTATTCGTTTTCAATATCAGCCAT